GGCTGAGACTCAATCACAACTCATACTCTTAATTACACACCATGAAAGATTCTTTCCAATTTTGCCACCTCTGTCTGTTAGCAAAATATCCATATACGAACCACTAGAGAGATTCTAATGAAACGTTCAGAAAGTAATCATTGGTCCTAAAAGAGCACAATGTCAGAATTTCTTTTTGTGTTTTGTCAGTATAATTAAAGASATCTTCTCTTTCCTTTGTTACACATTTATCTCCATCATGCACATTATCCTTATTTCCAAACGGCTACTTTTGTTTCTTGTGAAAGTTATACCAGTGTGTTCATAATGTTAGTTTGTGCTTGTTGTCAGTCATCTGACAGCCGCTGCCTCCCCAAAGATGATGCCTGARAGCAAACTGCTTTCAAGAGTTGAATGGCATGTCTGCAGCTTTTCAATAATGGTTTGTTGAAAAGAAACAGGAAGATGCAACATTGATTAATGCTGATTATCTGTCTTGTTCAGGGAGTGGCGCTCATCTCTCTCTTCTTCATCCTGCTGTCCATCACCACCTTCTGCCTGGAGACCCACGAGGCCTTTAACGAGTTGAAGAATGTTACGGAGAAAGTCTCCACTGACAACGGAACACAAGAAGTACAGCGGCGTGAGATGGAAACCAACCCCATCCTGCTCAGGGTGGAAGGCGTGTGTGTGGTGTGGTTCACCCTTGAGTTCTTGGTGCGCATCATCTGCTGCCCAAACAAAATGGTCTTCATCAAAAACACCCTGAACATCATTGACTTTGTGGCCATTCTGCCGTTCTACCTGGAGTTGTGCTTGAGTGGTTTGACATCCAAAGCTGCCAGTAATGTTCTGGGGTTCCTCCGTGTGGTGCGGTTTGTGAGGATCCTCCGGATCTTCAAGCTGACGCGCCACTTTGTCGGCCTGCGTGTCCTGGGCCACACGCTGAGGGCCAGTGTCAACGAGTTCCTTCTGCTCATCATCTTCTTGGCTCTTGGAGTGCTCATCTTTGCCACCATGATTTACTACGCCGAGCGCATTGGCGCCGATCCCGCCGACCCCACCATGTCCAACCATACGCACTTCAAGAACATCCCCATTAGCTTCTGGTGGGCAGTGGTCACCATGACCACGCTGGGTTATGGGGACATGTATCCAAAGACATGGCTGGGCATGATGGTGGGGGCGCTGTGYGCGCTGGCCGGGGTGCTGACCATCGCCATGCCCGTTCCTGTCATCGTCAATAACTTTGGCATGTACTACTCGCTGGCTATGGCGAAGCAGAAGCTGCCCAAGAAAAAGAAGAAGCACACGCAGAACCTGGAAGCCCCGACYGACTCGGCCTCGTTTGTCAAATCAGAAACAAACTCGCACATAGAYAGCACTCAGAGCGACACGTGTCCGCTGGCTGCAGAGGAGAGCACCAGCAGGAATCGCTCAGGTACGTTTATTTTTGTCTTTGTCAGAGGATGCAGGACTGACCCTGGCCAATTTGGTGCCCTGGGCCCAAAACTCTTTTCCTATTAAACTGTTTTTTGGCCCTGGGCAAGAATTCAGGGSCRCCCCTTGTGCAATTTTCTAAATCTCCCAGCCATTTTACATACAAACAAGTTTATTTTTTATCTTGAGAAAACCAGGTTTTCCAAATAAAATAGTGACAATATAATTCATTTGAAACAAAATACCAGAAGATTACATCATACCTGCCAACCTTTGCTGGAGCTGTGGAGTAAAGCAGTTCTGGGGGGGTGGGGGTGGGGTGTCCAGGCATGTACTAAAACGTTGTAAAAAATCTACTCAAAGGAAACAAGCAGGCTGCGTAACACACAGAATATTCATAAACCTGAGTAATCCACAGACAATAGATAGATACAGTAATTCTACAGATTAAAAAAACTCTACCCAAATAAAAAGTTATGAATTATATTTTTTGTCCCCCATTTGTGGCACCCCTGGATGGACAGTGCCCTTAGCATTAGCCTACATTGCCCATGCCACGAGCAAACATTAAACTAACATAACATCAGCAATTGTACAGACGTAAACAAAAAATAGCATTTTGATATTTAAATGTGAAACTAATTTTTAAAGTTAATTTTGCTGACATTATTAGTTCTCATTTGACTTTTATCATTATAGGAATCATCTGTCTTAAAAAGCCATGATAAATATGTGATGAGCTTTAATCTGGTGATAACACAAAGAGCCTCAGCACTTTTTGACTTGAAAATCCTTAGAGTTTCTAGCAGCTGATCTGTGTTTAGACAACAGCAGATTGAATTAACGTCCCAGTCAAATTGGATTTCATCACAGAGAAATGCTGGTTTTGTGCAATCTACCTCTGTCTTTGTCTGGGTCCTCAGGGGACTCTGGGTAAAAGCTTTGGCATTTATGCTGCTGTGTGTGTCCGTCTTCCTGTCAGACTCCAAGCAGAATGGGGATGCAAATGTGGCCCTTTCGGACGAAGAAGGCTGCAGTCTGACCCAGCCGCTGTCCCCCAGTGAGAAGTGGTCCTTGCGGTGCTCCCGAGGGCGAGGCAAGAATAAGAAAGAGGCCACCTGCTTCCTCCTAACATCTGGAGATCCCACCGTCCATGTTGGTGAGCTGCAGACACATCAGGACAAACTTTAGATGCGCATGCTCGCTTTGAAGAGCCGTGCTGCTCTTGTTTACACTCACCAAACAACGGTTAAAGAAATAAATCAGCACAAAGTGGTCAGAACGATCTCAGAAGAATCAGGAAGACAYTTTAATGGAGCCAAGATAAAGCTGCTCAGTACAAGGCCTGTTTCAAACAACTCACAGTTTTACAGCTGGGTAAGCAAACTGGATCTTTTTTTAAAATCATTGTCAATTTTAACTCAGATTGGCTTCCTGTGGGGCCTAGGACCCAGTTTATATTCTTACAATCTCTTATGGAGTGTTGCACAGCCAGGTTCCTACACATATAGCAGATGTATTTCACCCATATGTACCTACGTACATATGCTTAGGTCTATTAACTCCAATCTGCTRCTTGTTCGTCTGTCTCGACTAAAGGCATGTGAGGACAGAGCATTTCAGGTTGTAGCTCCTAAATTTTGAAACACCTCAGTCTCCAAGAGGTGTGCATTAAATGGATGTTTTTAAATARCAGCTAAAAACTCACCTTTCTACGCAGGCTTTTAACGTGGCTGTATGTTTGCCTTAAGCCGTATGGTTTGTCAATGTGTTTTTTTATGCTCCGTTGTGTGCTATCCTGTTTTTATTGTGAAGCRCTTTGTGCCTATTTGACTGTGAAAAGTTCTTTACAAATAAAGTTTACTACAGATAATTAGTCAGACTGGGTATTCTTAACTGTAATAGATATTGTGACAAACAGTGAAAACAGCTTACTAGATCTGTGACTACCTCACTTAGCAGTAAAGGGTTTTAGTCCCCCCTCCACCTCCGTGTGCCCTCTGAATGTGCAGAGGTGGTCAGAACATGCGTCAGTAATGGTATGGARCATCTTCTGAAAGAGTTGCACCGGAACAACATAAAGCAAACATCTGAAAGGCTTTTAAGAGTTGTGCAACGTTACACTTGCAAATCTCAGCAACATAGTGAGACGAAGGTCCTCCATCTGTGGCGTCTGCTACTTCACTTCGTCTTCTTACTTCTGTAGATTCTACACATTGCTGCTTTTAAAGCCATCTTTWAAAAAAAATCAAATTCTAATGTGATGGAACCCRTTTTACTCATAAACTGTGGAACCAGTGCGTGCTGGGAAACCAGCAGGCAGTCATTTTTTATTACTCCAATCAATAAAAAGTCAATAGAACAGCTTTGTAGCACTAATTGCTTCATTTATCTGTGTGTGCGCTGAGTGGAAAAGCCTTGTATGTTTGAGTTATCTGTAACACGAACAGTTCGTGTGTGAAGGTTCAGCCAGTTCAGAACCAAGGGTCGGGTCAGAGCGAAAGGCTCGAGATGCTGATTGGGATTTTTCTACAGACAGAGCTGCTAATTTAAGATAYGTACTGAAAAACCACCAGCCATCTGTCATGTTTTATCAAACAGCTGTTTGGACAAGGAGACAAAAAAGAAGGATTTTCAGTTAAACGATGCCTGAGTTACATAACTGAGATTCAGCAGATGAGGAATCAGCCCTGCACTCTTCCAGGACAGGCCRGGTCGTTTTCCACAAAACACCCAACAGCAGTGAAGGTATTTTTCTGTAAAAAAAAATACACTTCACTCAGATGCGTTTCAGTAAAAGAGCTCATTAGCACGTTGCTGCTGGAGAGGCAGAAAGAAAAGGCCCAACTCRTACATTAAATGGGGCACTTACAGCAGCCTGGGTCCTGAGAGGGTTTCTATCCCACACTTTTTCTCAACAGCCCATTACATGGACTTTATATTTCAATGTATTTCCTGAAAGGATAATCAATCTCTGAGTGTTGATTAACATAGACTTTTATCTCATTTTTGCAGGTTCTGACATGTAGATGAAGAAAAAACCCTCAGTTATTTCTGGCAGATAAATAAGAGGAAGGATGATTACAGATATGAGGGCTTATTTTAATAGAAGGAAACAAACAGAAAAAAGTACAGCCTCTGTTTCCTCGCAWGGTCTTTGCCGTCTTGTTTTATTGTCATACGAGCTTTGTTCTGATAGAAGAGACCAAAACGATGAGGAAAACCAGAACACCTCAAAACTAATCTACGACGGAGAGGGGAGGGGGTTAATTAAATCCGGTGCCTTGTATCTGGTGATCCTCTGAATAACAGCATTTTATTCAATTACAGGCTGATATCGCAAACACAACACATTTTAGTCCACGTTATTACAAAATAAGGGGGTTAGAGTGGACTTCCAGCATTTTGATTCAGAGCTGTTTTGACAGAATTTAGAATTCAAAGCTTTTATTATTATTATTTTCCCAAACAAAAGGCTGCTCTGATATCGCAGCTGTTTTGTGCTGCTTCATGTAAAAAAGAAAATGACTCACAAGCTCTGCTCTTAAGAGCTAAGCCTATAGGGAACTGAAATGGCAGCTAATTCTAGCGCTAAAAGGCGTTATGAGGAAGAACAGAGTGAAAGGCTGATAGATGGAGGCCTGAAGATGCCCTCAGATGGTTGTCGGCGACAGGAAATGGACGCTCAGAGTGACAGGAAGAATATGTTCTGGTGATTAAAGTCATCACAGAGATCCTGCCTGATGCTCAGAGTTTAGCCGAAATCAAAACACAAAACACTTTTTCAAACTGGAGACATATTGTTCAAAGAAAGCATGGTGGTGTGGCGACAAAAAGGGAGCAAACGAATGTGGAAAAATGTTTTCCAATGCTCCTGAGAATCTTCATTTCCCCCCCAGAGACTCTTCTAGATGAATTGGATGATTGATTTTTTTCTTCTTTTTTTTTTACTGATATGTTTCATCAGCTTCTGAAAACTTCAAAGCCAACATTTAAAAAAGCCAAAATTTAGATCTGAAGGTTGTTTCCTGCCTGTGAGGAAGAGTGAAATTATCCACTGATTATTTTATTTTAAATGAAGCATTCGTTGCTTACACTTCTCAAGCATGATAATGAAGAGAGTGATCATTAATTGCAGACACACACACACACACACTTCAGCTGCTACGCAACGTACTTGCTGGGGACTAAACTGCTCTTTTTTAAATTTCCAGATATGAAGTGTTTTCTATTAATCAGATAGCTGCGGTGTCAGGTCTGAAGGAGCATCACAGTGCTTTTCCACAGCGTCTTGAAGTCTTAAAAGCATTTGGTCAGAACTGACCAAATGACCATCATACCCACCAAGACTATGTATCAAACAGGAGCAGTGTTTATAAGAATTATTCACACCCTTGTATGTTTTATGTTTTTATTGCTGTCAGAAATCATCCATCCATTGTCTTTACCTGCTTCTTCCTTTCAGGGTCACTGGGGT